AACCGTGAAGTGTTAGTGGCATACAAGGCAGGAAACACACTATATGTGCATGCAACATTTAAAACCTTGTGGTTTTTCTCTGCCACTCAGAATTTAGCAGAGCTTCAGGGCAGAGCCATTTGCAGCACAATGCATAATGGTTTAGAGTCTTAATTCCTAGTAAAGCTCTTTTTATTTGCAGAATGCTTGCAGGAAATTTGCAAAAGGCCGCAAGATTAATTGTGAAACTAGAAAAATATAGATCAGCCCTCCTGATAGTCTACATTAAAATATATATTATTTACTGTATTCCACTACACACTGATGTTTGATTCATGCTAGATGCATTCAAATTAATGCTGTTGTGGAGTGGAGAAACCGAGCTGTGCGGCGGAGAAACAGCTCCATCTAACGGTGTAATCAAAGACCTTCAAGTGTGTCTTGAGGATGCGAGTTAACCATTCGACAAATGTGAAACGTGATCTGCATTCTCAGGAGAGCACACTTAGCTCACGGTTGAGTTTTTAATTTTATGAAAGCAAAAATGAGATTTTATTCATTGATTTGATATTTAATACATAAATAGCCTATAAAACTTGGGCGTCACGGTGGGTAGCACGATCGCCTCACAGCAGGAACATTGCTGGTTCGAGCCCCGGGTGGGTTAGCTGGCTAAATAGGCCGGGTGGGTTAGCTGGCTAAATGGAATTGAATAAGCTAAATAGGCCGAAGTGTATGTGTGTGTGAATGAGTGTATGGGTGTTTCCCAGCGTTAGGTTGTGACTGGAAGGGCATCCGCTGCGTAAAACATACGCTGGATGAGTTGGCGGTTCATTCTGCATTCACCCCTGATTATAAAGGGACTAAGCCAAAAAGAAAATGAATGAATGAAAACAGACAATGATGTGTTTTATAAACATTGAAAAATGTTTCACTGACTTTAAACTGTATACACAAATAACAAAAAAAAAAAAAAAAAAAAAAACCTAGCTGCATTAGTTAACATGAGCTACGGCAAACGTTTCTGTAACTACATTCTCATTCATTCATCATTTTCCTTTCAGCTTAGTCCCTTTATTAATCAGGGGTCGCCACAGCGGAATGAACTGCCAACTTATCCCAATAGTATGCAGTCTTTATGATGAGCTGAGATTGAATCGCTCAAGGATGCAATGTCAGACACAATTTGTTTTATGCAGCAGATGCCCTTGCCCTTGCAAAATGTGTTTTCTATTTATTTAGGGTGGTAATTTGCATTATGGGAACTGATATCTGCTCTGTCGAATTTTGATGTTGAAAATTCAACTTTTTTAATCATCTGCTTGTAATTACATCTGTAATTAATTTCTGTAACTCAAAGGTCACTTAAAGTGAGTCCAAAAACAATATTTGACCTTCAGGCATAATTTCTTTTAATTTTACAACTCATCCATATAATTTTCTGTTTATTTAATGTGTTTTTAATTAACTAATGGTTAATTAAAAATTAATTCTTCTTGTATAGCAATGGAAAGATTGACTTAATAAAAAAAGCACATATTTTACAAGATTTGGGACTTCTTTCTTTATTTGTTTTAATGTGCGCTGTGTTTGTTATGACTAACTTTAATATGTTTTCCACTTTCAATGGAATGCAAGTGTTAATTTTTTTTTGCTTTTTATTATTATTATTATTTTATTTACTTATTTTTTTATGTGTATAAATATTTTTATGGCTCTGTCGGGATGGGGTGGGTGTTCTTTTTGGTTGGTTTTTGAGGTGGTATTTGGTTACTAATACTTTGTATCACAATATGTATCACATTTTTCTGAAACAATAAAAATATTTAAAAAGTGTGCTCAGATATTTGAGAAGTTTACATTTTGGGGATTTTTCTTTTGTCTTCATATTTTCATAGTTCAACTACTCTGTAATTTACTTTCATGTGGACACCTCCAATGTGAAGCAGTGGACAGCTGAAGATGTTGTTGGCTGTTACTTCTAGACATTATTTAAATTTGATAGTTTGCATTAAAATATGATATTATTAATTCAAATTCTGTGAATGTAATTGTGATGTATATAGATTAATAAAAGTTATTATTTTTTGAAAATAGAATGTATCGTTTCATCAATAAACACATGCTTAGATTAAAACATGTTTGCATTAACAATAAATTTAAAAATGAAATTGGGAAATGGTGTTTCAAAGCACTCAAGGGGGTTCTGGTTATTTTCAATAAGAGGGTCCCTCCAGGAACCCTTGAAGTTTCTCAGAGAACCACCCCTTTTGAAAGGGTGCCTAGAGGTTCTAAAGGGTCAGAATAAAAATATTTAGTACATGTAGTACAGTATAAACCTTTCATTTCTCTCACCGTACATCAGTCAAACTGACTAAAAAAAGTCAGTTAAACTGTAATCAAATTCATTTCACACTAAACATAGTTTAATATACTACTTTAATTAAAATGGAAAACTGATGTTTAAGTAACAAAAACATTTGTTGTCATGTGTTGTGCACGTTCTAAAAACATCCCTGGAGATTTTGACCCAAACTGACCTGATTGCATCACACAGTTGCTGTAGATTGGTTTGCTGAACATCCATGATGCAAATTTTTCGCTTGCACCACATACCAAAAGATCTCTACTGGTCTGTCCTAAAAATCTTCCAAAATCACATATTTCATGTAAGTTAAACATATGATTTTAACATGCTCATGTATTGACTTTTTTTTCAAAGGCAGCAGCGATGTAAAAAACAGCAGACTCAAAGTGCATTTATAATATGCACACTAAATTATCACTAAAGCTCTAATGACAATAATGAATATAATTGCTCTAAGGATTTTGATAATACTTGTGTGAAGTGGCAAAGGGCTTGCCAGACCACTAGTGCATCACCCAAGGGATCTAGGAGTGTGAGCAGGCATGCTGAAGAAAAGCAATGAGCAGGAGAGATGGATTAATTTTAGCTCATGGCAGTGAATACAGTGCACCATTATCACAACATGTCAGTAAACTTGGCACATCAGCATGAAGCTGCAGTGTTATCTGGGTTTGCACCTGGTTCATCTTAATGTCCATGTTTTTCATTATTGTATGTGTTGCACTGGAACAGGTCACTGTAAATTCTGTAAGGGTGCTAGATGTAGCTTTTTTGATATTCTCCTTTGGATAATGAATAAATCAGATATGCATTAGCAACCTCAAAAGACTAATTAATACTATTTAGCAGTCTATAATTACACTGTGCATCACTGACAAAAGAGCTTAGTACAAATTGGTTTGTTTGCACTTGGAGAAGATAGTCACAGCAGAAAGAAAATGGTGGTTCACCCAGAAACAAGCATTAGACTTTTGAATGGACTTGTTAGATTAATTCTGTAATTTTTTTTTGCATTGACTTAGATGTTTGTATCTCTTCACAATTATTATAGCGTTCTTCACAATTCATACATAATTCTTACATCTTTTTTGTTTGTAAGGATTCCTATATGCTATTAATATTAGATATACACATATTGTTTCTTATCAAATGCAAACAGTAAATAGGAACTGTGAATTTGATATACTATTATAATTCTAAATATGTTACAGAATGTTTTAGCAATTAAATATAAACATAACACTAAATATAACACTTAAAAAAACGTTTTAACAGTTTAGTCGCATGAGCAGGGCAGATTAAACCAATAAGCAATGCAAGCATCCACTTGGGGCCCGAGGACATCTGGAGGCCTCCTATAAATATCTAGAAGTATAAATTATACCTATAAACTATATATAACATAATTTTCTATCATATTTTGTTCAGTGAGAGTCAAACTAATATTTTTGCGTAATTAAATATTATTTAATATACAATAAAACATAATATTATTATAATAAAAGTAATGGTATGTAATAGTTATATTATTAAAAAACAATATCCACCTCCCTCAATCATGGAGCAGTCCAGCAGTCAAATTTATTTATATTATTTTTGTAAATTCATTTTAAGACATGTAATTATTTAAAATGTGAAACTTACATTAAGATAAGACGTAGAAAAGAAGATTGAATGATAGAAAAAAAAACTGCAAAATAAATAAAAATTAAATGCTGGAGTTGCTTAGGGCCCCCAAATTACTAAAGCCTCTCCTGCTCATGAGAAACAACAAACTTTTCTGTTATAATAATAATAATAATAATAATAAAATTAATAACATTAATAATAATAAGGTGATGCATAAAGTGGGGCTGTAGGTAGTGCTGTCGCCTCACAGCAAGAAGGTCGCTGGTTCGAGCCTTGGCTGGGTCAGTTGGCGTTTTTTGTTGAGTTTGCATGTTCTCCCTGCGTTCGCGTGGGTTTCCTCCAGGTATTCCGGTTTCCCCCACAGTCCAAAGACATGGTACAGGTGGAGTGGGTAGGCTAAACTGTCCAAAGTGTATGAGTGTGAATGAGTAGGCATCCGGAAGGGCATCCGCTGCGTAAAACATGTGCTGGATAAGTTGGCGGTTCATTCTGCTGTGGGGACCCCAGATTAATAAAGCCAAAAAGACACATAATGAATGAATTAATAATAATAATATGCTGTACCCTTTAAAATGCAATAGGATGTAGGATAAAAAACTAAATAAAATCTAAAATAATGTATTAGTGATAATATAAATAACAATAATTGTTGTAATATAACAATATATTAATAGTAATTAATATTATAAAATTATTAGTATTATTTTACGTCGTTTTTAAAATTCTATTACAAGTTATTAAAAAATCCATTGCAAATGTTATCATTTCTGTTTACATAGTAGCCTATTAGATTTGTTTGCCATGTCCACTGTCACTTTGAGTTGAAATAAGTTTAGGAATTAAGCAAGAATATGATATTAGGAACGTCAAACTGCTCGTTTTATTAATGGCAATGTAAATTAAGAAAACTCACACTGCTTGCTGTTTGCAAATAAACATGTTTGTCCTTTAAAGGCCGCGCATGCGCTGTGCGATTCTGTCACGCTGAAGCCGCTACATGCTTAGCTAGCTCTCATTGCACAGCAGCACTTCACACCTATCTGCCACTCATGCCGTGATCTTGTGACAGCGAGACGGAGGAGTCGGTCAGTATCCTTTCTATAATTAAACATCAACCATAAATCCTCATCTCTGGATTGCACTCGCGCGGGGCTCGTTAGCAATAGAAGTTTTTCGTCTGCGCAAACAGCTCAGTAGTGTAAAAGGTCGTGAGGTGTTCAAGATGGCGACTGTATGAAGTTCGCACTCTCTATACGGTAATAAACTGTTTTTTAAGGCACCTGGTGATTGTTTAATGTGCTATATTTGTCTTATTAGTAAGTCAGGGTTTAGTAAAAGCAGATTGCAGAAGGTGTCATGGACGTGAAGCAGAGCTGAAGCCCTAGCTTGTCAGACTTCAGTGATAAATGCACTGCTGTCACGTAATTTACGGCGTTTACAACAACAGCTTTTTCAGTGGGTTTAACGCTTAATGCAGTTTAAGACCGAGATAATTGTGTCTAGTTTCATTACGGTGTGTATTCGCGAAGACTTACTCATTTTATTTGGCCTCAAGTCTTTATGAACGTTCGCAGTTCAGCTTGTTCGCAAGTAAGACTGAATCCAAGCATGACAGGCTACATTTGATTTTCACTAAGGCTACGTCTCAACACACAGTGAGCTTACTACTTAGACAACATTTTTTGGCCTTTATGCACGACTGCATTGTCAAGATTACACTTGCAAAAAATTGCTTTTGTTTTGCTGTTCGGGTATCGTGTGGTTATTCCATGTTGCTGAATGAATATCCTGTTCGTTGTATTGCATGATAGCATGATATTTATGTGGTAACTTACTCCATAAATCACCACAGTATATATCCAGACAGGAAACACGGTATTGTACATAGTAGTATATGTTCAAAAGTCCTGCTATTGTCTGTGAATATGCTAAAATGGTGTTGGTATTGAAAATTAGAGAACATTTTCTAGAATCGTCTTGCTAGTGCATTGGTCCAAAACATGCTATTGCTGTTGCATACATCATTAAAAACTCTGTTTCCATTATTTATATATAATATCAGTATGTATTACTAGCACACTTCAGCATTTTCTTGTTGTATATGTTGTAAACTGAATATTCCTACTGTATATGCCGTGCTATATTTAAAGACGGGCAGTGTGTATTAGTTGTAAGTTTGTTTTTAGTCACATTAATGTTTTTATTTTTTATTTTGGGTCACCAGTTCATACATAGGCACCCCATGCTGACACCACAGGACATCGATTTCTGCTGTGACAAAGGCATCAGTCCTGCCCACTGTCCTGCACAACTATGGCCAAAGAGCAGCCAAGTGTGTTTGACCTCATCCCTCTTCTGGGGTCCACTGACCTACATGAGCTGGAACAGGTCAAAACCTTGCTGCAGGAAACTCTCAGTGCAGGTTGGTCTGTTCTTGTGTTTACAGAATACCTTGAGTGCATGGGTCAAATAGAAATTTGCAACACTGTTCTTGTTCAAACTATTATTTTTAATACTTAAATGATGGTAGGTTTGTAAGTTGTTGTCATCATCAGTGGATGCATTTAGGGTGTATTTAGAGATTAGATTAAAACAAGCCATGCTTCGATGTCACTTAATGTGGTTCATTTGAATTTGTGTGAACACTACCATTATACCGTGATGTGTGCAACAGACATCAGTCCACCTCTGAGTTTTACATCTAAACATCTAAAGATAATTAATGATGTCATGAGATATGACCATATATAGGACAGAATGCTCAACCATAGCTGTTTTTTTTCCAAGTCATGATGATTAATCATGTTGTTGGTCATTACAGTTCATAACATTACAGTTTGGAGCATGGCTTCTTGACTTTTTGAGTCTTGTCTACAAACATTGAATTCTTTTAAACTGGAACACCCCATCATTATTGACATTCTTATCAAAGCGAATGAACTACAGAGAACATTTTATAATATAGTTTTCTGCTGGATCCCAGCACATGTTGGACTGTTTGGAAATGAACAAGCGATAAAGCTGCCAAAACAGCCCTAACCGGAAAGATAAATGGAGTGCAAAATCCAACCTTCAGATTTAAAGCCACTATTAAAAGGCTACATTTTTAACAAATGCCAAGCAGAATGGGATCAGTGCTCAAAAAAATAAACTTTTTGAAATCCGGCCTAAAATAGGAACAAAATCTAGTTATTATTTCAGTTTATTAACTCAAGACATGATGAGATTGTTTACAGAAGATGCCGTATTGGACACACAAGACTTCCACATGAACATTTACTCAAAAAAGAAGAACCCCCAAAATGTCAATATTGCAACAGAAGCCAAACTAGTAAACATATTCTTGTGGAATGCCCGATTTCTAATGTTATTAGACAACAATTTTTATCTGGAAAGACTTTAAATATTTTTAAATGTGAATCCTTCTAATATTGTACTTTTTTTATCAAAAGTAACCCTTAAATAACAGTTTTAGATTTTTTTTATCTTGTTTATTATTATTATTTATGTATTTTGCCTTGTTTATTATTGCTGTTGATCACTTTTAATTGTTAGAATATTTTTTTTTTTACAATTATAGAAAGGTGTTATTTATAAATGTGTTAAACTTTGATTCTTTTTTTTTTGCCATGACATAGCCATAGAATCTGATATGGCAATAAACTCAAAATTCTCTCTCTCTCTTGACTTTAGTTACCATAGCACTTGATGAAATTCAAATTGTGTCAAAGCAGCTTTACAAGTAAGACAGGCAATATTCAGTAATGATGTGTGATCTTTTTGCAGAGGAATTGCTGCCACTGTTTTGACTCTTTTACACATTTTGAAGCTCTTTACAAGTTCCAAGCTGATAAAAGTATCATTACGTGCACATTCATTGATATAAATAATATATAATTATAATTATATTATTTATATATAATTTATATATAAGTTTTGAAATGTGAAAACTCCCTTAAAGTGTGTATTAAATATTCTTTTCATTTCTTTCTGTAGATAAAGGGACCATGTTGCTGAATAGCCTTGTAGACTATTTCCTTCAGACAAACTCATCTCAAGCTGTGGACATCCTGTCTTCTGTCCGGGAGCCTCATGATAAGGTGAGGAAAATGTTCACCATTAGAAGTATTCTTTAGCTGAATAATGTCATCCTGGATTTCAGAACATCTGTGACTGATGAATAATGGACTATTTTTTATTTGTGTGTGTTTTTTTCTGTAGTATCTTTTAGATAAGATGAATGAATGCATGGGCAAGCAGAGCTGTCGTCTCTCCACCATCACCCTCCTTGGTCATGTTGTTCGCAAACAGCCACCATGGATCCACAAGATCGCACGCTTCCCTCTGCTTGTCTCGCTGCTCAAATGCCTCAAGGTACCAAAATAAAGGCCACTGAAGTGTTACTGCATAATATTATCAGTGCACGTTATTTTAATCTGAGATGCATCAGAAAAAGAATAATGAAAATTTATAAAAGGGGTGTTTCCTCCATACATTCAAACTATAATTTGTTCACCTCATGTTATTCCCTAAGATGTCTTTAAAAAAATGATTTATGTTCATGTCATTTTTGACCTTTAAGCAATAAAATAAATCCGGCTAACTTGTTTACATGACATTAAACATGTAAGAAAGCATGATTGGCTTAAGAACGTGCATGTAAACATTGTTAAATAACTGTAATTATTAGTTAATTTGATGCTCTAGAAACATTTCTTATTAAAAATGTTGAATTGCATTACTTAATTTTGAGTGTTTTTTTTTTGCCTTTTTATTATCAAGAACTTATTTGAAACAGACATTTTTAATAGTAATAATAATATTGTTCTTGTGTAAAAAAAATAAAAAATTAATGCCACATTAGATAAATTTAATGTGCCATGCTAAATAAAAGTATTAAATTGAAAAACATTGTGAATAATAAAGGTATAACATCGTACTATAGAGATCGTTTTTTAAATTAAAATCAGCTGATGTAAACAATATTTGAATAATTTTAATCATTTAGTTTACTGTTTAATTTTAATAATGATTCATGGCAGTAAAATCACATGGGTGCTGAAGTGCTTGGGTTTGGTTAACATGGAGAGAGATGAGTGCATGCAAACGAGGCAGTCAGTTTCTGTGCTAAGAATGCTAAGAACTAGTTGCCTAAACTGTGAATAAAGAGCATTAAAGTTGTAAATAACTTTCAGTTTGTTGCACAGAGCTGCTTCACTTTATAAGACCTCACTGTAGTATTTTTTTTTTATGTGACACAGACATGTGCAGCAGTGGCTGAAGTGGCACTCTGCAAATTGAAAGCACACACATTATTTAAATGGCCATGGAGGTGTCGTTACTACACTTAATGTGGCATCTCATAGCAAACACTGAGAGTTGTATGTTTGCTACTTTTCTGTCAAAAATCTGATTTTTGTTCAGGACTAGGATCAATTTAAAGTCTATTTAAGTCCCCAACCCTAAGTTTGAGAAATTCATATAATATAATATTAAGCATTTAAATTAGTTTTAAAGCATACAATATTGAGATAATATCACATTGAGTTCTGTATCGAGATGTGTATAGAATTGTGACTTGAGTGTATCTGTACATGCCTAATAAGTAAATGTAAAAATAGCAAATTTAAAATCTGACTTCAAACTTTTGAATGGTGGCGGTAGTCATTCACATTTTTATGTTTAATTTCTGCTTCCAGACTGACTCAGATGTAGTAGTTCTCATAACTGGTGTGCTGGTGCTGATCACTCTAATGCCCATGATTCCTCAAACCAACAAACAACTTCTTTGCGACTACTTTGATATCTTTGGACGTCTTGCTGCCTGGAACCAACGTCATCCAGGTATAAACATTACAAATCATTTTTTATTTGGCTTCAGTTTTTGGATAGGTTTTGTTTCCAGATGGCTTGATCTCACAGTACTCTTTCTACGATTGCGTCCTGTAGGCCATGCTCAGGGAGTGTTTGCAGTCCATCTACATGCCAGCGTGTACTCTCTTTTCCATCGTTTATATGGCATGTATCCTTGTAATTTCGTTTCGTACCTGCGTGCCCATTACAGTATGAAGGAAAATGTTGACACGTTCGAGGAAGTGGTGAAGGTGAGGTCTGATCTCTTTCACCACGCAATTAATAAAATATTGTTAGCATGTTTAACACTACAGTTTCATTCTGCTTTTATAACAGCCCATGTTGGAACATGTTCGGATACATCCTGAGCTCATCACTGGAACCAAAGACTACGAGGTTGATCCAATTAGGTAAAATGAAATCATTGCTCACACTCATTTTTTATTTTGTGTAGACATTTTGTGTTCTAATTACTCATTTTCATTCTGTGTAGATGGAAGAGATTTGAGCCACATGATATTGTGATTGAATGTGCCAAAATTTCACTGGATTCTAAAGAGGCGTCATCTGAAGAGGGCTACTCCTCTTTGGCGGATCACATACAGCGACGCGCTGTACACCATAGCCAATCATGTTCAGAGCTCAGTTTCCATGGTAAAATCATTTATAATGAGTGGTGTACTTTTGTTACTGTACTGTTGTCCTTCCTACTATTGAAAATAGTTGAAGGCATTTTGCTCATTTAGGGGCCGATCCCACTTAACGTGCTTTTTTTTTTTTTTTTTTTTTTTTTTTTTTAAAGGGTGATTTTTATGACAAGACGTGTTCACAGTTTGCAACTTTTTTTTTTCTTCAATTTTTCTCCTATGTATGGCTGGTTTGTCAGACAAAATCTTGGATATCAATGGGGAGAACATAATATTGGCATTGTGATGGGTCAGATTGACCATCAAGCAAACACCTGGGTTAATTAAACACTTATTAATAGGTCTGTTTAAATCTACGTAGCAACAACTCAATTCTTGTCATAAAACTATTTAAGTTGTACATTTTTATAGGTAAATAATTGTTTTGTGTGTGTGTGAATACTGATCTTATGTACTGTTCTGTTAACAGAAATCTCATCAGTCACACCAATAGGTGCTATTTGTCAGTCTCTCTCTAAATCACAACCTTATCTCACTGTAACCCAAGACTCAGGTTCCAGCGCACAGACCCTCAACAATCAAGTAAGTGTCCTCCAAATAAATTATCCATTTTGTTTCAAAACAAATACAAGGCTATCTAATGTAGACATAGGCTGGTATAAGATTCTGACAGTATGATAACCTTGGTTAAAAAGATCACGGTTTCACGGTATTGTGGTTACTGCTCTAAAATATAATATTTTAAAATGTTTTTTCCCCATTTGAGCAGAAAATATTATTATTTTTTTTAAACTTTTGTTTTTTATTTGTTTTAACATAACGGAACAAACAGATCACCAGAGGCATCACATACAATTATTACATTCTTCTTATACAGTCGTATTTATAGTGCAGGTTACTCTCCCATTAGCCCCCACCCTAACCCGTCAGTAAAAGGTACTGTATTATAAGCATAAACACCAACATAGTTTCCTTCAAGTCCATATGATTCAGTCTTTTACAATCTGTAATGTGCAGTCCAAACAAAATATTTTACATATATAATATACCTATATATGTACATGTATTGAAAAAAAGTAATAATAAAAATAAAATATATAAATAAATATAAATAAGGGGAGGAGGGGGGTTCGCACTCATTGCAAATTATTTCCTAGCAAATTATATGTTTTCTATATTCTTATATATAAACCATTTTGACCAATTTTTATAGCATTTATCCATGTTTAGTCTTAAAGAAAAGGTGAGTTTCTCCATTTCAAACATATTATCTACAATTGTTATCCACTCATCCTTTGTTGGTGGAATCTCTTCCAACCATTTCAGAAAATATTTTATTTTTAAGAAACATTTATAATATTTTGGAGCAATAAACATGTCAAGGTTAATAATCGACTTCTGCTGTCTTCGTTAGTTTCAGAAACACAGATTTCTTTACACTTTAAAACAGTATCTTTGGATATCTGGATGTTTTCTGCTGGAGATACTGTTGTTAGAATGTCTTGTAAGCATAACACAACATAGACTATAATCCAAAATTAATATTGCTGTCCCAGAGCTATGGACTATTGCATACAGATGTAGCCCGAGGGAGCTTTGTTCCACCAAAGTTTAAAGCCGATGATGTACGAAAGTCAACATTTGATGTGGATCAAAAAAATGTCCTTAGACAAGAATGGGTGTTCAAAATTTTAAGGCAACTTTGATCGATATACAAGTTCTGCTGTGGTGTTATTTGTGCTTGTACATGTTCAGTAGTGTGAAGCAATTGTTAGATGTAGCTCTTCTTTTCCGTCATCAAACAGATCTCACCCTTTTCTGTATATTCTGTGGGTGTTAGTTATGTAAAAGATAATCTATGTGAAGTCATAATATCTGAAAAAGTGGTTTAGTCCAAACAAGCTGTTGGCTGTATTTTTGAGAAATGTTTTCTCCCATTGGAGTGGACTTGGAGCTCAGTAACCTTGCAGATATTTTCTTGCATACACAGCAACATTACACACTAACTAAGGTTGAATAATTGAACAAGCATAACAGGACAGCTTTAATCTCTTTGAAAATAAGCAGTGTTAGAGTTCTGGGTAAATTGATTTTTCACAAAAGCACAGAAATCTTTCAGGTTTAGTTAAATATATTGATTAGTATTCTGAACAAAAGTCGTATGTGTTTGGAATGATATGAGAACATAATTTTGTTTTGATTTGTTAATTTAAAAAAAAATAAATGTGTCCCTCCGCAGAGTGATGAGGTCAAATCCTCAGGGATGAAGGAGGAGCTGTGGAGCCCTTCCTCCATATGTGGGATGAGCACCCCTCCCAGTTCTAGAGGAATGTCCCCAACCACAGTTTCTGACATCTCACTTAGTGCCTCACACCTCTCAGGACGGATCCCCAGCACCCCAGGTCAGCCAAATGCATTCTGATCTACATAGCTGCATATCTCAGTTTGTTTGTTTGCTGTCTCAGATGGCTTCAGGGGTTATTTTTGTTGCAGGGGATGGAAAGTGGACTCTATCTCCCACCACACCCTCGGGGTCATCCCCTCTCCCATCGCTCTCAGAGGAAATAGGGCAGGCTGCCCAAAACACCAGCAGTACCCAGGCTAAGGTGCATAGATGTTTGAAGAATTTGCTTAGCTATTTATTTAACTCATGCTGTGTGCATTGTTTTTCTTGAAAACTGTTTTATTTTTGCGTCTGCTCAGACGTGCAAAGAGGTGAAGAAAGTCACATCCAGAAGTATTAATAACAGCAGTGAGAATGGTAATAAACAAGATTTATAGAGTCTTATTTCTTTGAGTAATCAACATTGATTAATGCTTCGATCTTGCTATTCTAGGAGGTGATGCCAAGACTCCAGTGTCGTTGGCACAGCTCTCTGACATTGTCAAAAGGACAGAGGGGGAGCGAGAGGATGGTGAGAGTGATGACATAATGCACAACTTTTTCAGGCATGCATTTGTTTTCAATGTGCTCTGCTCTCAAAAATGTGCACTATTTGTTTTTACCCCAGATACAATCAATGAGGAGATTTTGAGTCTAACCCATGGGAAACTAGACTTTGGATCTAGGCCTGGTCTGGAATCCTCATTTTCTGGCTCCTTAGACACCCTTCTCTCATCTCATCCTAATCATGAGCAGAATTTGGTATCCACACCAGACAGGGTTGAATGCTCGGCTAAAGCAGGAGAGCAGCAGCTTCCTAGGTCTCTCTGGCCGTTCACCCCCATTGAAAATGGGAAGCACAGTAAATGTTCTCTGTCTGATCTCACAAAAGAATCCATGCCTTATGAGCCACTGTTTGACCTCGCCCTGCCGAAGGTGGCATCTCTGTTTTTGGAGAGGAAGACTGCTGAGGCCTTTCGGAGGGTTGAAGGAGAAAGAGATCACCAAGATGAGATGGAAGGAGAGGATCTTTCTGTCACCTCCCCTCTGGAGGTGTTGGACCGGGTTATCCAGCAGGGTCACGACACTCATGGGAAAGTGCTGAAGAGGTATGCTTTTGTTCTTCTGAATTCAAATATGAAGTTTGAATAGGGCTAGGCAATTAAGATCGTTATCGGTATTTATTGACCAAACACTGTTGTCAATAATGACAAAAAAGTTTGTGTATGAAGTTTGTGTATGAAGGCTATAATTCTATTAAAATGTGGCTGCTGAGCGAGTGCCTTAGAAGCAATGCCAGTAAGCTTAGGGTTTAGGCTTATAGGAGCAGTGAGGACATTGTAATTAAAAAGGATGTAAAAATGTGGCCAGAGTGACTTTTTGGTTTCTTTTCTTCTGCAACCCAGCCACTAGCACACATATGAAAGAGTTTTTACCATGGGGTAATGTAGTCATCCAACTTTACAATTTGTAATGTTGCAGTATGTATTTGAATAATGATGTTAGATCCTTTACTTAAAAGCTCAAATTGGATCATCATAATTTGTTTTGTTTACAAAACAGAGTTTGAGGTTTACTGTGTCTATATTATTCACACCTTATAGATTTTAATCTACCTTAAAGTTGGCTTTGATTCAGTATACGCTTTACAATTGCACACACTTTGTAATATTTTATTCATCAACTTTAAGTGTCTCTAACACTTTTGTTTATTTTATTATAAAGAGATCAAATATTTAGTTTAAATATGTAGTTTTTGACTATTACAACTATTAGCCCTAGTAATGTTGGTAAATGAAAATAAAGTGGCTAAATAAGAAAAAAAATCCTAATATTCCTAAATGTATTGTTAAAAGATATTCAATTATTATCGATACCGAATGATATGAAACATCATGATAATTTTTTTGCAATATCGCCCAGCCCTAAGTTTTAAAGTGTATTGAATGTGATGGAACTGTGAGTATTTGTTTGCTTTTTTGTTTACAGAACTTTCTCTTCTCCAAGCCAATCATCAGACCCACACTTGAAAGGTAAACAGCATAGCAATAAAGGAAAAGGTATTTAGTCATTTTACTAATTAATTCTGTGCTCTAGACAATTGTGCCCTCCAACTGTCCTTCTCCAACATTTCCTGTTTTTACATTTTCTTGTTGCTTTCCTTTATTTACTTTTGTCTTTCAAATTCCTTTTCTTGTCTTGTGCAGTTCACTACCAAATCCTCAGAGTAAGCTTTGTGTTTGTCCTGATTAGCTATAATTAAAATCCCAGTTGAAATGGAGCTGCATGATATATGGAAATAAAAATCAGTACTGTGATTGTAAACATGAAAATCTGCTTTTTAATTAAATAATATGTGAAGCTGTTTTGTTTGTAAAGCACAGGAACTTTCAATTGACCGCAACATATTATTTTTTTTACAGGTCTTGTGCCTGCAGTGTCGGATGAGCTAGACATGTTACGCAGTCAATTGCTGCTGCTGCATAACCAGTTGCTTTATGAGAGACATAAGAGAGAGCAACATGCGCTTCGTAACCGTCGTCTGTTTGGCCGCATCGTCAACACTACTGCACTGGAAGAGCAAAATAACTCCATGGTAATGAATAAAACTAGAGGTATTACCAAAGACTAAAGAATACACAAGATGTGTCTCTTTCATACTTTTGAATGGGGAAAAGTGCCACTGTCAATATGGTGAAATAAAGCCCTGCTTTCTAGTTTAGGAGCCAATCAATGATAGCTATATGGTAAATAAAGCCCGTCTTCTAGTACCGTAGCCAAACAGCAATCACTATAGAATGATAATTTTCCAGGGAAGGATTAACATCATTAATTATGTTTATTAACTTGAGTAAATGTGTAAATCTGAATTTATTCAGTTTTTATTCATTAATTTATTACTTTTTATTTAATATATTAAGATTTTAGTTATGATACTCCGCTTGATACTCCCAAAATAAATCTGCAAAAATCCGCAGATTTTTACCAAAATTATCTGCAGAAATGGTAAAAAACGTCCGGGTCCGTCTGGCCCTGGTCATAACCCCCAAATAAGCAATAGCACTTTTAGCTAAATTCATCACATCCCAAACCCATTCTGAAGCATTTTAAGACTCTTAAAATGTAGAAATTAATGACAATAGTCTTTAAAAACCTGAGAGGCTTCACAACTTTAATTACTGGTCATTACTTTTTATTTTGGATGTTCATATTAATGAATATCATGTTTTGTGTCTGTGTGTGTGTGGCAGAAAACGCAGCTCAAACTTCAGGAAGTTGAGATCCAGGCTGTAAAGGTAAGCCTGAAAGAGGAGCAGCGGCGCTCTGTGCACATACAGGAAGACAGAGAGGCTGTCGTGAACCAGTTACAGATTCAAATTCAGCAGTTACAGAAGGAGCGGAATGACTACTACTCAAAGATGCAGGTGCTAAAGGTGAGCATATAGTGCTTGAGAACTTGAATAATTACATGTTTAAACTTGACCACTCAGTACACCAATATTTTGCTGTGAGAATAATAAAAGAGATTGTGACATCAGTGTTTGAAACGAGTTTTGGATTGTATAATTTACAGAGCGAGTTGCAGGAGAATCAGACAAAGGCTGGCAAAATGGAGGCAGAACTGCAGAAAGCCAATAACAAAGTGTGTAATATGGGTCACATGCTCAGCCAGCTATCTATCAAGGTGAAGTATAACACTATCAGCCAAATTACAATAATTTTTCAGTGAGGGCTGCACGGTATTGGAAAAAATTTATATTGTGATATTTTGTTTTCTGCAATATATTTTGCGATAAATACAATTTTACCAGATAACTTGAATTGCTTTTTGGATGGCAAAAGAATTATTAAGTTATAAGTTATTCTACGTAACGCATACTATTCAAATTACAACCAGAGATAAATACAAAAAAGCAAAGATGAAAATGAAATAAACAGCGTTTTCTGATTTTCTCATATAGTATTCAGACACAGAACTTGAATCATCAAACGCATTGTTTAGTCTTCATCTGATATATGATAATTAAATATAAATAATCTTTGTTATCTAAAGCTACAAATGTTAGAATTTCTTGTGCTTTTTAAGCTCTCTTGAAATGCTTAATAACCATCACAGCTTTAAAAATGATGATCAAACTTTTACAACGTTATGGATAAACTTAGTAAAGACAAACTATTGTACCTGCTCAACTATAATGAAGACTGGACATTGCACATGCTATTATGTGACTATTGCGGATGTGTACATTGCGATAACGATGCTGAAACTATATATTGTGCAGGCCTAATTAGTCATTTATTTATATATATCTTGTTTGTTGATAATTTGTCATTTTATTTAACCTCAGCTGAACAATAGTGAAAACATGGAGCAGCAGATGGCTTTCCTGAATAAGCAGCTGCTGCTTTTGGGTGAAGCCAACAAGTTATACATGGAAGAAATTGACCGCTTGGGCCCTGAGGCGCACAAGGTAAGCGTGATACTGAGGCGTTTACCAGATGTGACCATTTTTATCCACATTGTTAAATGGCAATTTATATAATGTGGTCCATTTAATTCAATTCAAGGCATTAACACTCATTGGTAAAAACTTTAAACTTTTGGACTCAAAAATTAGTTTGATCTGCTCCGGTCAACTCAGATTTGATCTCTTGTGAATGTTAGGAGCTGAATATGCTGCAAGCATCTTCAGTGCGGGAGGGTGAGCGTTTGAGGCAGAGCTCTCTTCAGCAGAGTCAGAGACTTGAGGCTGCACAGCAGCGTATCACAGACCTGGAGAACCAACTCACCAAGAAAGAGCAAGTCATCCGGGAGCAAAAGAAACTGCTGGACAATGTCAAACGACAGGCCACGTATGTGCTTGTTATGGCCTTAATCGTCCTTTTGAAATTGAAATACATTTTCTAATTGCGGTTTGAATCTACATCTTTTAGACCAAACCTCATGGTACAATTGATATATTTATATATTTTTACAGACTCCATGAAAATGTAAGTTAATCTAAAAGTTATTCTACACATTTACGTTTTTCTAAATTTATTTAATGATATATAAAATTTAATTGTTTTTATTTATTAATTTTTTATTTTGGTTTGATATCATTTGCAATTCAGTTTCAGGGTGCTTTCACATCTGTAGTTCGCTTCTTTTGGTCCGGACCAAGGGTAATAAATGATACATTGTTGCATCTTCTGCCGTCTTTGGGTCATTTTCACACCACACTGCTGGCTTTGGTCCGAACCAGTTGAAACGAACCAAAATGCAGTCATCTGACAAAATCCACATCTCTCATTGGCCAGATGTTGTTAAACATAGTTCCTAAACTGCTTATTGATTGGTCAGAATTCAAAATGCCAATGAACTCCCTCAGGTAAACAAAACCTTTTACTCTGGAGGGACGACTGCGCTGGCTGATTGTATGCCTGCTTTAGACAAACTATACATTACAAAAATGAAGCGCGGCCGCGGCTGGAAAACAGTGTTTAATGCATCGCTCGTCACTTCAGGAGGAGACGTGAATTAATTTAGCTAAACTGCGACATGGTCATTTTGCGTAAATATTACCAACGATCCATCAGGTAATGTTCCCCCCTCTCTCTCTCTCTTGGTAAAGCGCTGTCAACAAATATTTTTCCTCTATTTCCCATAATGCACAGCGCATCGGCCTACAGCAGCTGAATTAGTCCAAAGCGGATCATATTCTCACCACAAACGAACCGCTCCAGGGTTCATTTGAATGCGCACCGAGACCACCTCTTCAAGCAGGTCTCGGTACGCTTATTTGGTCCGCTTTTGGTGCGCACTCGAGTACGATTGCTGCATTCTCACCTGCCCAAACGAACCGTACCAAAACGAACTCCAGTGCGATTCAATCGAACTAAATAAGGCAGGTGTGAAAGCACCCTCAGTTGCAGTTCGGTTTCCTAAATCTAGTTTCATCTATTTGTTTGGATGTAATGAAATGATGATGGGTATTGTAAAGTGGTGCTGTATTTATCTCCAGAATACCAAAGATCAGGTTCTATTTCATCTTTTCAAGAGTATCTTGCTTTTCGACTTAATAATTTATATCTTGACTGTTTTTTTTTCTACAGGGAGCAGCTGCAGGCTTCAGAAAACAGGTATTTGGCTCAGAAGAACATCACTCAGGCATTACAAACTGAGCTGCTTGAGCTCTATAGCAAGATAGAGCTCAAAAACCTGAAAACTAATGCACCAGCAGAGTCCATTTCTGATCCCAGCAGTCCCACCAACCAGAGGTGCGTTTCATTGAATCACGCACAGCTGTTTCTCCTCCAAAGGCTGATCATTTAATGCATTTTAGACTTCGCAGAGCAAAATGTAAGAAATAAATATGATTGATTTCTGAATCGTGGAATGATTCTATTTCTCTTTTCCATTTCAGGCCAAATGGCAACAGTGCAGGCCCATCTGCTCCATCTCTACCGGCTGACCTGATGAAAAGAGAGGAAGGGGCGCATGTGTGTGTCAATGGTGAAATATCTGCAGCGTCTCCTCAAACACCCACAGCACTCATTAATGGCAGTCAGGAAGAAGATCTTTCCGCCCTTAGTCATTCATTTCCCTCCCTCCCCTGCCAACCCTTTGCAGTTGGCTCTTACCCCAGCACCAGAAGCTTTTTGGGTAAGAAAGCCAGAGAAATGTTCCGCAATAAGAGTGAGAGCCACTATGATGGCGACTCGCCCACCCTCACCTGCCTCTCAAAGGATCTTAAAGTTGAGCCAATCACAGACCCCACAGAGAGTTTGGAGTCCGAGGAAGCTGCTGACCAGTTTGACCTGCAGCCAATGGATAGACCCCGGGCATATAATGTTCAGAGTAGGAGGCATCAGGATCTGCGGATCATGGACTATAATGAGACCCATCATGTGCATTGATTGTACACTGCTGACATCATCGTCTGCAGATAGAAGAGGATCATTTTGGACCCAGTATTAGTATGCACTACTCTTTTTGTTAGAGTGGTTTGCAACATTTTAGTTCATTTTAAAAGCTCTTGTACTACAAAACGGCCAAAAAAAAAAAACATTTTCGCTTGGCATTTGCCATTTAGTCACCACAGTGGCAAGAGATCATCTTGTCTTCATAAGAAAAAATGGCTTACTTTTCTCCTGTCTAATATGAATTCATTGAAATTCAGTATTTTTTTTTTATAATGGGTATTCAGAGAGCAGTTGTGGTGATTTAACTGCGTGGTGGTTGGATGTTATTTGGGCCTTACTGTACTTTGCAGCAAATGTATTGATTTAATCACTGTATTTGCTCCTGTAATGGTATCGTTCAGTTTCCAGTCCTCCTAAATTTGTCCAAGCAAAATGCTTAAGTCACTTCTTCATTTAAGCTAATGTGACTTGCACAATACTGAGTATGATCATTGCAAGCGGAGCACTGTAAATAGATTATGCCTCTGAAAAACCAACCAGTCAGTCCGATAAAAATGTGAAAAACAAAAAAGAAGCTATGTGGAATAGGTGAAGTAGAATCGCAAAAGACATTTCATCATCGAGGCATATGCCATAGCAGTGCTTTGTGCGCTTGGCCTATAGAGAATGATCATGTCTTGTGTTGTACTTCTAGTAATAGATTTTATTTTTATGCATTTAACGTTCTTTGCTGGGATTGTAGCGCCCAGTCACCAGTGCAATACTTCGCTAACACTTCATGCCAGCTCGAAGGTATGATGATGGGGAATATATAATAAACTGATTTAGATTGCTGCTTTGCAGGACCGTCAGAGCCTTGAAGAACACTGGGTCAGGCTGCTGCTGAAGCATTTGTCCAGTTGAGACCTAATGAGAAATCCGAATGACTTTGTGGTCTAAGGTGTGTCTGACGGGTGAATGTTCTTGTGTTAATGGTATACAAACACGGCCACTGCAATACTTCAACACACTAAACTCTGAAAGGAAGCTGCTCGCTGTAAGCCAGAAGGCTTATTTTCTCTCTATTATGTTCTTTCATTTCTGTCTTACGCAGGTCAGACCCCATCTGCAAGAAAAAGCTTCAGATAATGGGCTGCAGCTGGCTGAACTGAAAGCACTTCTTTTTTAATTCAGCCCTTCTTAAGATTGCTGAACTCTAGCAGAGCAATATACTCATCTCTTTCTAAAACATTGCTCTAGGGGTTTGTTTTCAGTTCAGAGTATACTGTAGATGAACATGTGAAGTGCTGTTGCGAAGAAAATAAAATCTTGGCTTCGAACTGCCAGCTGGGGAAATGGCTTTGAGAATTGAAATCTATGGAAATCCTTTCAGTTTTTTTTCTTTCTAGACTGTTCTTTTCACAGGTTACCATGAGTGTGATCGTACAGCTTGTGCTTTGTTTCCCTTTCACTCAGACTTTGTTTTTATACAAATACCCCTCTCAAACATTTTGTTGTTTCACGTAATGCCTTACAAAAAAAAGTAGGAAACCTGTCTGTCACCTGAAGTCGTTTTGGAAAGTTATCTTAACTATGGTACAATCAGGCGGTGACGGGTGTAACGGGTAACCAGGGACTCTATTTTGAAGTTGAGAAAACAGATTTGTGTTCTCCTACTTGCTATGATCAACAAAAAAAAAATAAAAAAATATATGTTTTGCATAATTTTGTTGCTGTCATCAATTTTATAATGGCAATGAGGTATATGCACATGGGCTTTTTATTTCAGTCAGCCAGCCCCAGGGCTTCCGGTAAATTGTCACCCCACACAAAATCGCAACTTTTAAGATCTGATTTCTTAAAAAAAAAAAAAACAGCAATCTTCACTTGCCTGGCTGAAGATATGATTAAAAAGTGGGTATCAGACCAAACAAGATGTACATCTTTCCGCGCCATGTCTTTTAAAATATGGAAATTAATTTTACCCTAGTATTTTTATTGGAATTTCTGTGCTAGCCAGCGGCTTTTGATGGCGCCAGCGTTTAAATAGTCTTTTTAACTCTTTTTATGCTTTAACAAACAAATGGATGCATAAATCTATTTAACTGATTATATTTAAATTGAGTTACAACACCAATGCAACATTAGGAACATTAGGAAATTGAAAATAGCTCTCAACGGAAGTTCATCATTGGCAACACTATAGGCATTGGACGATAACCGTGTTCAAGGTATAACGTGGTTTGGAAAAGTCAAGGTTCTAAAACCGACAAAATTCTGATAAACTGTTCCTAAGGTATGAATAAGATTTAATTTTACTTTTTTTTTTTTTTTTTAGGACTGCAGAATCTCATGCAGAAAAGAAAACAAAATCTGTTTTTGAAACTAATGAAAACAGCAGAAGTCAAATCATTTGAATCATTTGAATTAGCCTAACATGTTTACTGTTCCAAAATATTTAAAAATGTTTCTTAAGTTAAAATATATTGTGTACAAAAGTTAAAAAGGTTATGTTTTTTTTACCCAGACATGTATAAAAATAGATTTGAGAGCAGTAATCTTGAAACCGTGATATTTATACCCAAGGTTATAATACCGTCAGAATCTTATACCGGCCTATGCCTACAACACTAGCTGTGCATATAGCCCATTGTGAATTTTATAATACTTGGTGTGAGAACTAAGAACAAAACATCTGTAAATATCAGTTTTTTTTTATCTCCTTGTATTTCCGGGTGGCTTCCAGGCTGGTTTTCCTGCATGCCAACCACCAGATCCTTTTTTCTTCTTTGAGGACTTACTTCTCTGGTGCTTACTGGTGTCTTTTTCAAGGCTAGCATCGATCCCGGTTCCAACATTCTTTGTCAACGTTTGATTAGGTGTTACTGTAGATGCTGAACTTAGACGTTTTGCACTTCCTCTGATGTAGGCAGCGAGAAGGTCCAAAGTCAGTGGAATAATGCTCACAATCCCACCATAGAAATTTCTTGCTTCATCACAGCTCAGCCGGTTGATCACATTGTGTGGATAGCTGTAAAGAAAGGGGATTAAGTCAAATAATAAGCAATGATTCTTGGGAGCCTTGAGCATTATGTTACCATCTGATTTTATTTAATGAGACTCCCGCATCCTTAAAGTGGGTTAAATTCCGAAGGTTAATCATTCAGACAGCAATTGTTTATATTTATGTAAGAAGTAGTGTAATTTTACTGTTACTTAACTGTGCCCTTTGCTGACTGATGTTGCTGCTGGGGTTCAGGAGCTCTTTGCAGGTCTCCAATCCCTCACATGAAGTGTTTCTGCTGGACACTGAGGACTCCAGTTGTTTTAAAACACCTTCAAGATCAGAAATAATTTCCAGAAAGAGTAAAAAGATGCTCCTGTCAGTTGAATTGCTGCAATGGTGATTCATGTACTTTTGGACCTGCGGAAAAACAATGTTTTCTATTTGTTTAAATTTTACATTATTGATACATGCAATACATATTATTTAACAGTATTGAACCAATAATATATACACTACCGATTATAATTACACAAGTTTGCTGTAAGATTTGTTTTAAAAAAATTAAAAACATTTTAATAATTAATTCTTTACAAATTCAAAAATGAACTAATGAATAAAATTTCAGTGTCTTCAAAAGTATGCATAGTTACTGCAACCAACAATAAAATAGTGGGTTGCTACTTGAAAATATTAGCAGTTTAATTTCCACCAGGTTAACATGACAATAAATTATGCTTAAAATATTAACATGCCATTCTTACAATTAACAACAGTTCGCTTTGATTACTCCCATTTTTTAATAATCACAGCTTTACTGGGTGCCGTGGGAACTGTATGACTTTATAAAACTGTTAATAAATCATAATGACCTGTTTTATGGTGGAGACAGGCTCTGTTCTGTCCCTTGCATGTTCTCTTGAGCGCTCCAGAGCATTTATAAATATAAACTGTTGTTGTTTGAAACGTTTATATTTCTGCTCGAGGAAAAGTAGCTGCTGTCTGACATCAGCCATCTCGGTTAAAGTGCTCAACCTGTTGAAGATGAATAACGTTACAGTAGTATTAAAATACAGAATAAACGAAGTACTGTTCATAAATAGGAGTAACGTTAACGTTAAGGTAATTACCTTAAGGATATTCTACTACGGCTAAAACTTAAAAAAAACTTTGTTGTAAAACTAAAGAGCGGGCTTTTTCACGGAATGTAACTTTAGCCCAATTGTGTCTTCAATTTGTCAAATATTCACATGTACGTTATTCGAACTTACCTGTATTAATACTGAAGCATATCAAATACCTGTACAATCGGTGTCTTCTTTTTCTGTTTCGCATATGTTGCGTAGCAACTAGAGTTGAAGCTCGCACTCCCTCTGTTGGTGCTGAATGTGATCTGCTCATCAGCTACACATGTTACCAAGGGCAACGACAGCAACAGCTGCAGTGAGAACGCAAAACAAACTAGCCACAGCTAACGTTAGCCTACATTTCAAGGTAACTTTATATATTTTTGTTCTTCATTTTCCTTTGAACAGATAACCGCATTATGCTATTTTTAATCAAATAAACGCATCGTTTGCGTAAATTCCCCTTTTGTGAGGGAGCAAAGCTAAGTAAACTATTAGCCTAACTTACATAAAGAATAAACTTTGGTAACGTTACAATACCTGAAAAAATACGTTACTTACTGAGCACATCTTAAAAGAAACTAACATTATATATTTTATACTAGAACATGTTCGGTACATACCAGTATTTATGTATTAGATATACATTATGTATGTGTGTGTGTGTGTATATATATATATATATATATATATATATATATATATATATATATATATATATATATATATATATATATATATATAATATGTAATATCTAATGATTGAGTGTAATAGTATCTAATAAATAATAACTAATATCTAATGAATAAGTAGTTCTTTTAAAATGTGCTCATCACTTTTTCATTATGTAAGTTACCAGAGTTCATCTAGTATCTTTTTTTTAAGTTTTACTCAGAACATAGGCAACCAGTTTCAACAAATTAATTTAAAAAGTAGTAAATATTTTAGTAGTAAATATTTTACTGATTACCTTACTGTTTTCTGCTTTTTATACATATAAACTCATAAAATGCTAATTTCTTTGTAAACCAA